CTTGCTTGAGAAATATTATGCTCTTTTTTATTTATAATATGTGATTGTTTTACCTGATTAGAGAAAAAAGGCGACGTCGATGTAGAAAATTCAGCAACATTTAAGTTGTTTTCAGGAAAAAAAATGACATTTTTATGTGTCAAATGAGAACAAGATTCTTGCAACAAATTAAAAAAGATAGAATAAAATATAATTATATAAAATAAAATAATATAATATAAAAAAGAGAGGAGCAGGGCGTGGTGAATAAGTGAGAGTATGGGTGGAGTTTGCTTAGTGTGGTATGGGTAGTGCTCCCACTTTTTGCAAACTAATTTTTTTTTTTATTTTTCTAGTAAGTTTAGTAGTGTCCAATATAATCCCATGGATTTTGTTTGGGCACTACTAAACTTATTAGGAAAACAATAAAAATTTTAGTTTGCAAAAAGTGGGAGCACCAACTATGCTTCTCATGCTAACACCACAATCAAGCAAACTCCACCCATACTCCCACTTACTCACCACGCCCTGCTCCACTCATTTTTTATATAATTTTATTTTATATAATTGTATTTTATTATATCTTTTTTATTTTGTTGCATGAATCTTGTTCTCATTTGACACATAAAATATCATTTTTTTAAAACAACTTAAATGGTGCTGAATTTTCTACATCGACGTCGCCTTTTTTCTCTAATAAGGTAAAACAATCACATATTATAAGTGAAAAAGAGCATAATATTTCTCAAGCAAGAGATATTCTAATTTTTTTTTATTCTTGATATATTTGGTAAGTTTAGTAAAAGAATTGATATATTTAGACGAGCACTACTAAATTTACCAGGTCAAACCAGTCAATAGATTGAAAATAAAAAAAAATTGTTAAACATGTTGGAAACTCCGCCACATTCATGCACACCATTTTTTATTTTAAATTTTGGGAGGTTTAGTAAAAGAATTTTTATATTTAGACTAACCCTTTGTTTTATTTAAACGAGTTTTTGTTTTACATTAAGTACTACTAAACCTACCAATATTTGAGAAAAAAGAGGCAACGCCTCGTATTTCACCCTAAATTTTTTTATGATTGATCTTTTGCTATTTAAAAAAAAAATGAGAATGTGATTATTTATTTTCCCAATTTTAAATAATGTGCATGTTTCATTTTCTTCCTTAAAAAATTGTATTTTTTTATTAAGGTAGTTTTTATATACATGTATTTTAGTATTAATTTACTTTCATTAATATCCGTAAATATTTTTATAAAATTTAATATTATTTCAATATACTTTTAAATATTTAAAATATTCATATAGATAAATCATTATTTTAAACTAACTAATAGATTTTATATTTTGAATTAATTATCTAAAAACTAAATAAAATATTTAGTTTAAATAAATACCTATTAAACAATCATCCACTAAAAACCCACTACCCATTAAATAAATACATACTAAAAACTCACTACCTATTAAATAAATCACTCACTACACTAAAATTCATCATAAATCAAGGGGAAGAAGACATACCAAGGGGAGGTCATACGGGAGAAAGAAAGAAGATCGGATAATCGGTGGCCAAGACAGACTTTTCGATAAAATTTGGTAACCATCGACCACCGGTGGCAACGACGACGCGGTAGCGCGACGATGGTACGGTGGCATAAATATTAAAAAATATAAAATTATATATGTATGTATAATTAAATAAGTAAAAAAATATAACAAAAATTAAAAGATAAATAATTATTACTTAATTATAAAAAAGAAACAAAAGACATAATGATAAGAAAACTTTAATAAAAAATAAATAAAAATATAATGATTACATTAATGTTGGTGATTTTAATAGATTGTTTGGTATATTTAGACTCACCCTCTTACATTTGGTTGGTTTTATGATCTTTATGTGAACATTAATATCCTTATTTGCTCTGCTTAGAGTTTGCGCATAGTTGCCCTGATAATTTGTCAATAATTTTCTTGTATTGGCTAACTAAAGTTTTCCTCATAAACATTAAGTTTTTGTATCGAGTTTTGTATGGATCAGTTTTGGGTTTTGTTCTGCTCGTTGCTTTTTTTTTTTCTTAGTCGAATCGAGTCGAGTCCGGTTCCGATCACAATTGACACGTCTACACTTAGTTCCTGGTAGAACAGAGTTGCCATGTATACCTTTTGTATCGTAGATTCTGTATGACCCCACGAGGAATTGTTAGTGGGAAACTTTAAATACAGCTTGAAATGTTTGATTCTGCAGAGAAAGTTGGTAGTAAACTGTACGAACATGTGCCTTGTTTGTTATTAGTTTCAGCAAGCATTTCTCTATTTTTTCTTACTCTTATTTTGATTATTAAAATTAAAAAAAAACTTAATCATTAATTAGACATTAAATTATTTCCTCATTTCTCTATTTTTCAGTTATTTTCTTGTGACACGGCACTTATGATATGGTACTTATTAATTTTGGAGTTGTCATTAAAGTTTAAATTAATATTTTTTATATATCTTCATTGAATTGGACCCTCCTCTGTCCATCTCTTGTGGCCCATGTCCCGGTTCTTGTTACACCGTCTCTATTCCCAAATTAATTATTCATCGAACAGTCACCTATTTCTAAATAAAAAATATTGATGAGACACATTTGGTACTTTAAGAACGCATAAATCTTATATATATATATATATTAAAAAATAGTTTAACTGTAATTATGTTTGTTTCCTTCTTAATTAATTAACTTTTTTTTAATGAAAAATATGCAGATCTCATTAAAAAAAAACCCTACTAACAACACAAGATTAGGTCCTATCAGGGGAAAAAGTGCACAATTATCCATTGAATTATTATAACAAATCGTTCCGTACAACATATTTAATAAACTCAAGATAGTCCTGATTAAAGTAAAAGGAAACATTAGAATCCAGAGCTCGTTTTCCTAATATATGAGCCACTTAATTAAAAAAATATATTAAAAATAATATTATATATATATATATATATATTAAATTTAAATCTATTGAAAATAAAATTTAATTATGTTATAATCATACTAAACTCATTAAATTGGTAAGATCTAATTAAATTTTAACTAAAATAAAAGATATATATGCATTAGATTTAATTTAAAAGGTTTTAAAAATTCTCCTCTCATACGCATTGTTTCATTTTACTATTATATACATTTATGAAAAAGTTCATTTATTTTTATACTTTTAATTATTTTATAATTTGATAGAAATAATGAAATAACATTATTGGTAATTATTGATTATTTTTGTCAGAATCGATTTTAATTGTCGATCAATTTTGACATTAATATTTAGATTATTATAAAATTTTAAACATTTTTTTTTGGGTAGAATTCCTGTGATTTAACTTATTTAAAATAAGATAAAAGTAAATAAAAGAGGAAAAGTAAAAGGAAAGGGCAATAAATGCTGGGATTCAGATCTGTACCACCATACAATTGGTCGTCCTTGGGGTACAAGTAATGGAAAGCTTGTCGGTACTTCCGCTTATAACATTGTACACATCACCCATCGCACAATGCTCGTTGTATCCAACTAAAGGATCGGATTTTAAATAAAAACAAGTCATTTCTACTCCTGAATCCACCCAACTTCCGGTGACTTGGATTGCACGAATAACCTCTCTCTGAGACTCTGGCTTTTGATTCTCTGTAATTAGATCCCATGGCGTAATTGTTCCACCAAACTGAGCTTGTGGTCCTCTTCGCGGCATTCTGCATGCCTTCGGCACAACTAAACAAATATAATTAATTAACTTACCAACTTTTCTAAAAAAACATTATTATATTTGTCGATACAAGTTCATTTATAAGCATTTTTGGCAGCCTTTTCAAATGCACGACTTTATAGATTTGAACCTAAAAAAGGAAGTCTTAAGTGTGAAGAAATTTTATATTAATAAAATAATCACTGCCGGTTATTCTACCATTCTCATAGGTATGTCAAAAGATTTAATTTTATTTCACATACTTCATTGGATTAAAATTCAATATTTAATGAACTAATGTTATTATAAAAACATTAGCATATTTTATTAATGTGAATTACTTATATTAAAATCATAGTTATATCAAACCATTAAATTTTAAGGACATTAAACATTGTATTCATTCATATTTAATATTTTCTTAAGTAATAAGTTCTAGATTCATCGGGGAGCACTCTCCTTTTTCTTGGCCCTCTTTTCCTCTCTCCTTCAGGTAAGATTAGGATTAGATTTAAATTTTGTAAGAAAAATGAAACTAACTTCAATCTTTTTAAAAAGGATTTTGAATAAAATAAAAAAAATTGATTTGGTTTTAGAGAGGATTGGAGCATTTAGGGGCGAACACATGATTTTATATTAGGGGACGATAAAAATACATAGAAAAAACTAAAAATATACTATAATTTTAAATTTTCAAAGAGCGACCGCCCACCCATGCTACCTGGTCCATCCCTCGAGCATTGTTCTTAAGTAATTAAATTGAAGTAAAATTGATTTAAAAGGATGTATTAGACATGGGTGAATGCATGTTCTATGTCCTTCAAAATTTTGATGTGTTGGCATGATTTTGTTGGTGAATGAGTTCATTCTGACATAAGTTATTTTTCTTTATTAATTTCATCAAAATAAAATATGTACAAGTACAATAGATATAAGTATATTTTTAAAAGAATTATTTTAAAATGAAATTTTTTATATAATAATATGTAGTTCATAAAAAAGTTACAAATAATATTTTTATAATTAATTTTAAAATGATAAGTAAATATATTATTTATTTTATAAAAATTCATAATTAAACTTGTGAGTATATATATATATATATATGACAACATGGTTTCTTTTCGTCCAAGTTTTTATATATAAATTAATAATCATACCAGCAGTATATATATATATATATATATATATATATATGACAACTTGGTTTCTTTTCGTCCAAGTTTGTATATATAAATTAATAATCATACCAGCAGTTTAATCTCATAATCTCTTTTGTATTTTACAATGACAGCGACGAAAAACCTAGAGCAAGAAACAACGGGTGCTCTACAAGAGCTGCGTGGTAACGAAAAAACGAACGACTCGCTCGCGTCAACCCAGAAATCTATAGAGTCGTCAAAGCCGCCGAGTCTCGATGAAGTGGAAGCGATCTTGGGGTATGAGTTTAAGAACAAACAGTTGTTGGAAGAAGCTTTCACGCATGCTTCGCTTGGCGAAAGCATCTCCAACGAGCGGCTAGAGTACGTCGGCGATTCCGTTCTTAATCTGGTCTTTACTAAAGAGCAGTACTTTGAATACCCAGATTTGTCGCCGGGGACTTTGACCAGACTCCGGGCGGCTAATGTCGATTCCGATAAGCTGGCTCGCGTCGCCGTCAAACACGGTCTGCATCGGTTTTTACGTCACAAGAAACCTCTTCTTGAAGAGCAAGTAAGTCGTTCAGTCCTTTTGGGTTTATATATGTATAGGTCAGATCAGATGGAAAGATTCAGCAGATGTACACGTGGTTTAGACTTTCGCTCAGTCGACTTTCGAATATTCTATAGAAGTTTAAAGTATATTCACCATTTTACTTTATTAGCTTCTTTTTACTTGAAATACATTTGATTTTACGTGCAGTTAATAAACATTCTTTATTAGAATTCTTTTATTTACCAGTACAGAATCATAATTACTGATTAAATAAAAGCGATACTAATTAAGATAATAATTACACGTTGACAGATTCAACAATTTTCTGAAGAAATACGGCGACATCCTTTGCATTCAAATGGACAGGTTGAAGTGCCAAAGGCAATAGCCGACCTTGTTGAAGCCATAATTGGAGCCGTTTTCATTGACTGCAATTCCTCCATTGATATTGTTTGGAAGGTACGTTTAAGCACTAATATTTTTTGTCATATATATATATATATATATATATATATAGTGCTGCTAAACATGAAATTTCGATTGACAACAGTGTTTGTTCTCAATATTTATCATTTTTTATTGTTCTATGAACAATTAGGTATTCAAGGATTTGTTAGAACCCATAATCAGACGTGAAACCCTAAAAATACATCCGGTCACTCAATTGTACGAGGTGTGTCAAAAGAGAAATTTGAAGGTAAAATTCGTGGATTTATGGAGAGAAGACACGAGCTTCGATGTGTTCGTGGATAACCAATTCATAGGGAGAGGCTCGTGTAGAGACAAGAAGGAAATTGCACACAATAGAGCTGCCAAAGATGCTTTGGATAATATTTGGAAAATCTTGGATGAAAAGGATGTAGAGTAGATTTGGTAATCCATGTTTTATGTATTTTGTGACCATAATTGTATTTGATCACGTAAATTTCGTCGTGCAAGTAATTTATGATATAATTTCATGTTTCCATAATTTATGCTATTATTTGACGAAGACGATACCAACATAGGAAGGGAGACGAGAAGGGTAAACCAGTATCTGAAGTCGTCATTAGATCGTAAAAAAAAAAAAGAGACTAACATAATTGTTATTTTGCAAACTGTCAACACACATTTTCGTCCTACTAGGATTCAAACTCCTAAAAATAGGATAAACTTTTGCTAGGATTCAAACTCCTAAAAATAGGATAGAGTTCTACTAAGATTTAAATTCCTAAAGATAGGATCCACAAGCACTATAAATAGCCATTGTAACTCACTATTGTAGGACACGATTGATACACAAAACATAGAGGAAAGCACGGGAAGATACAAAGGCAAAGCTATTGTAAAGGATTCGAAAAGGAAATAAAAGGTAGCATTTTCTTTTTTCTTTCTTTTGCATGTGCACGTTATTTTTTTTGAGATTTGGTTCGAATAACCCAAAACGTGGGTTGCGCCGATGACCAAAATGGGTGGGGTTTTGAAGTTTCGAACCTAGATCTACCCCGAGGCTTATTTTTAAAAACCGGTTTGATTTTCGGTTAAAGAAGGGAATAGCTTTTTAAAAATCTATATTAGTCCCTTATTTATTATAGATATTTTATTCATTTATTTTTATTATTCATGTTATATTATTATATTATATAATATATTTTAGATTATTCTCATTCTTTTACTATATTTTATTATTATTATTATATATATACATTTCTTTAATATTCTACTTATAAGTCTATTATTACTATATATATTGTAATTATCTTTATCTAGTCATATATTTTTTTATACTTTTAATAGTTTATTTATATACCTATTATTAATATATATATATTCTTAATTATTTTTATTTGATTATTATTTTTTATTTACGTAATATATCTTATAATTTTATATATATATATATATATATATATATTATTTTCGTTTTTTATTTATTATTATTATATTATTTTTTAAAAAAACCTTGTGTCTTTATCATTATTATTATTAAACATTATATTATATATACTAACCTAGAGGACCCATTTTTGTCTTATTTCTGACTAAAGCCCCTCACTTTCGGTGAAGTGAGAGGGTAGCTTTTCTATTTTTAAATATTTGGTGTATATATATAGCTTATTTATTTTATTAATACTTTGATGTATATATATATATATTTTTTTTTTTCAAATATTACTATATATAATTATTACTTTACTATTTTTTTTTCTTTATCTTATTTATTTTATTTATTTTTTATTTTTTCCCTTTTATCTATTTGTTTTCTTTACCTTGTTTATCTAACACATTTCTCGATTTTTTAAGGATATTTTCAAATCAATCAAGGGTAAGTAATTGGGGTCGAAACTTTACCTTTTAATTTAACTTGTTATTTTTCTTAATTAAGACAACTGGAAATTACGTAGTACCGAAAGGGCGGTTCAAGGTGCTAATCCTTCCTTGACCGTAACCGACTCCCGAGCCCGACATATTTCTGGTAAGACGCAGATCAGGTAAGAAATAGGGTATCCGATCAACCCATTTATTTTTAAATAAATGATCGGTGGCGACTCCAATCTACATTTTTCTAAGTCGAAGCCCAATTCCGGGGCCCAACCGAAAGACGGTTGCGACAGCTTGGCGACTCCGCTGGGGACAGGTAAGTGAGTCAGGCTAAGGTAATTTTCAGTTGTCTTTTTAACGAAAAGGGTAAGTTTGAATTTGAAGGTAATTTTTCGATTCTTATTACTTACTTTTGATTACATTTTCGAGTAAATAGTTGTACTGACTGTTTTCTAATGATTTCAGCTTTCTAAACTTTTTCATCTAAAGACTCTATACCCGAGCTCCAAACCCTATTTAAGTGGGGGTGAAAGCGACGCCTTCGTGTGAATTTATTCTCTGTATGGGCCTAGCAAGTAACCTTCGGGATTCATATACCTTATGCCTTCGTGTGAATTTATTCTCCGTATGGGCATAAGGGAATGTATCCTCCCGAGTTTAACTTAGTCCACACAAGCCTGTGATGGGTTTAGGACTAAGGGTCTGGCAAGCCCAATGGGGCACCGACAAGGATAACTCGGGTACCTTTTTTAGAACCTAAACCGGGAGACTACAAGGAGTTAGAGCCCACCCAAAACCTCATTCCAAACCCTAGGATACCGAAATTATTTCCTAGTTTACTTTCTGTTCAAAGCATGCGAACTAGAAATTTATGCGGTTAGGATTTGTTTGAAAGTAGCATGCGGGATAGAGATCATGTTCGGGTAGGAATAATAAGCATGTGGGGTAGATATCATGTAGGGTAAGACTTTCATTTTTATGATCGTTTTTTATTATTTTTTTCACCTCACTAACTCTTTTCATCTTTTCTTTTCTTTTATTTTATTTTATTTTCATCACTTGCATCATAAAAGAGGTCATTGATCCACTAAAACGTGTTTGTTAAAATTCGAATAATCTGAATCCATGGACAAAGGTATTGTAATACAAGAGATTAAAAACCCCGAGGTACGACTATGGTCCGAGAAGACTCAGAAGAAAAAGGGAGACAGTCTTCAAGGAAGCTATGTGTCAGAGCTGGTTAGCTACGCCTATATCAGCCTAAAACAGAATAATGTGCAAAGAACTTCGAGACATCTGAGATAGTTGGAAGATTGATCGGAAATAGAAGTTCAGTCAGCGGTATGGTGACATTGTATTTTTGCTTCATGTTAAGACCGATGAGCCCTTAATCAGAGTCTTGGTTCAATTTTGGAACCTGGGATACAGTTGCTTCACTTTTAACCAGGAGGACATGGTACCTACCATCGAGGAGTATACTACACTATTGCACTGTGAAAGCATTAAATTGGAGCGAGCCTACATTAAACACATCAAGAGTGAGCCTTTCAAGAACGGGCTGGCTAAGATTGCAGGAGTTGATGAAAAATGGGTGACTGATCGACTCCGAAACAAATGTAACGGGAAAGGAATTGAGTGGATCCACATAAGGGAACTAATGAAGGACCACCCTGATGAATGGAAGACTATAGACCTTTTTGCACTAGGTCTGGATGGCTTGATCATCTTTCCAAAGGTTTTGGATGCATTGACGCAGCCGTGGTGGAACTGTTTGAGCAACTTCCGAAACGAGTCAACCCAGCACCGACCATCTCAGCCGAGACCTTTTGGTCTCTAAACCATTACCGAAGAGCTAGCGGAGGTAGATTCATTGGATGTGTTCAGTTCCTTCAAGTCTGGATTCACATCCACTTCTGGAAGACTAATGGGGTTGCCTACTGTAGATTTAGCACTACGTATTCACCTTTGAGAGTTCATCACCATACATGACATGAAGGCGCTTTAAAAGAGAAATGGATGAAAGTCTTCACTCATCTTTAGGACCGGGATATTACCTGGAGAGCCCCCTGGTTATTCCTCAGTGATGTTCTTTTCAAGTGTGGGAATTCTGACACTATGACCCTATTTGGACTTTGAGGTGCAGTTGGGTATGCTCCGTTGTTGGCACTTAGACAGTATGGGGCACATCAGTTTGTCCCAGCAACATATGGATTATCAGAGTTTATGTATCACAGTGACAATTATAAGATGATCAAAGAAGCAGTCAAGTCATGGAAGAAAGTATCTCGGATGGATGTCTAGAAGATTTAGTCCGAACATACCTTTTATTGTTTTATCTCTTACAAGATAAAACATTTTTGTCTGAATAAGGATTATTTATAATAATGGACACTTTTCTGGATCAATGCCTCGAACATTTCATGCATTCTTGCATTTTTGCCTTTTTTCATTTTCATCTACAATTTTAAGCATTTTCACAAACATGAAATTCAGTCATGAAAGACTCGATGAAGCGAATTTAACCACATGGAAGCAAGATTGTAACATTAAAGAGCCTAATTAGCTGATGATAGGACAAAGCCGGCCATGATGATCTAAGAAAAGAATCCTCGTATCCTAAGGACTACGATGTTGAAGCTGTTAGCTGTTACCACATAAGAAGCCCCAAACATTCCTCTGAGAACTATAAGGCATTGAAGCGCAAGATCCAAAACCTGATGGATTCAGGGGCATAAAAAGCCGAAGAAGGGGACATGACATATACCATTTGCACTTAGAGGATTGTTTTGTTTGAATACGTCTCTGATCTTTCATGTTTGCTTAATCTGTTAAACGATTGAATTTATGCTACTTTCTAAGGTGGAGCAATTGAACGAGTTTTAATCTTTAGTTCTTCGAATATTAAATGAATTAAGGATTCTTTTAATTCTTCAAGAATTATAGATTTTTGACATATGACAAGATTAGACATTTCTTATCCTGTCTCAAACCCCAGAATAAAATACCTTGATTCTTTGCCCAAAATAACTCATGGTCATTACCAAAAAGACCAAATTTTGACATTACCTCCCTTTGAAATTCTTGAACATTGCCTTTATCTTTTTGATACACCCATACTTTTCTTTGAGTCAATAAGATCACACCACTGCCTTTTTAGACTCAAAATTGACATTTTAACCCAAGGCATTGAGTTGTTCATATGAACATGAGATTTATTCTAAAGACACAACTTGGGGCATCTCGCGGGGACCTTGAACATTGAGACATCTGGGGAAAAAAGAAGAATTCATCCGAAATAATTCTATCACGCGTTAATTACACTGTTTTCATGTGAATAGAATTAATCCTGAAAATCTATCCCCCTGGGGATACCTTTTCTGTGAGGACTTCCATGTATGAAATGATGAACGGCTTTCTTTCTTTATCCCTTCACAACAGGAGAAAATATATCCCCTTGTGTCCCCTTTTGAGCCTATAGTATTTTTCTTCTGATTCAACCCTAACCAAAGATCACCCTCCACACTGGGGGCAATGTGGAAATCTTCTCACATGATGAAGACATCAATCCAAAGGAGTTACCAAAGGTGAACCAGATGCCAAGTG